CAAGGCAGCGCCGCCGTCCCCGTCACCTCCAAGGCGCGGGTGCCACTCAGGAGCTGTCACAGCTGCCTGTCACCGCGCTGCCTGTCAGCGACACGCCGGAGGTGGCTGTCACCCTTCTCCCGCTCGCTTTCCCCCTTCCCCGCTCCTGGCACGGCTGATCCCATCAAGCGCGGCTGTTGATTTTGGGATGAGCTGTGCCGCGCGGAGCAGGAGCCCTGACCTTTGCGGGAGCGCCGAAGGAAAACACGGAGAGGTTTTTGGAAGGAGGGTGGCATCCCCAGGCATCGCTGGGCGGTGTCACGACATCGGGAAGCGGGGTTTGGCTTTTGGGAACCCCTCGGGAGGCAGGAATGGGGTGAAGGACCGCGGGAAGTCTCCACGGGTGGCACCAGGGTGCGAAATTCCGCTGGTGCCCAGTTAAATGCCAGCTCGGAGCGGGGGTGAAGTCACGGGGGAGGATTGATGGCCGGGAAAGTTTGGATTTTCGAGGCGGGTTGATAAAGGTGATTATGGTGATTAAGGTTCAGGTAATGACTGCCACGGGGCAGCGGAGATCGGGAGACGTCAATGGGAGGAGGGAGGGAGCAGGGGGAGAGGGAAGAGAGGGAGGATTGGGGAGAGGGAGCCGCTGTCACGCTTCAAAGCTTGCGAGGACCAAGAGATCCCGCTGCCGCTTCCCCATCTCGGGGTCCCCACGGCAAAGCCTGAGCCCCCCACCCCGAAACGAGACGTGCTCGTGGAGTTTTTATTCGCCTTGTAATTAACGCTGATTGCGGCACTTTGGGGGGGTTTCCGTGAGAATCTTCCTCCCGTGCTGGGGGGAGGCTCCTGCAGCTCCACCTTCCCCCCGAGTTAACGCTGCCAGCTTCTCCTCGGAGCGCGAATCCGGGCAAAGGGGAGAATCCCAAATTAACTGCAGAGCCCCCCAAGCCCTCGGGGCTGATCCCCGGTGCCTTTCCCTGCCCTCCTGCCCCGCTCCGCCGCTTTTCCCTCCTGCCAGCAGCGGCTCTATTGTTAAACGCCGCGATCCTACGTGGCTCGCTGCCGCTAATGAAGGTAATTAGCTGTGAGTCACGTCGGGCTCATTTATGTTACGAGGTCAAAATCCCCGCTACACTTCAATACATTTTTGCAGCGAGCACATTTAGAAAGTAATTAAAAGGCTCAGCAGCCGCCGGTGCCTCCATCCCCTCTCCCCCTCGCCGGGCTGGCAGGATTTAATTGAGGCCAGCCGAAAGTTAGTGGGAATAAATTGTGGCTGATAACGTGGAGGTTGTAATTTAATTCCGGGAGAGGAGCTGTTCTGGCCCGGGTGTTTGGCTCTTCAGGGAGGGGGTGATGATGATAACTCAGTTCTGCCACGCGATTTAGGGAGGGGGGAATGAGGCTCTGCGGGGAGGGCTCGCTCGTCAGAGCGTCACCTCTGGGATTTGTGGACCCAGTTCCCAGCCCTGGGAGGTTGTGGATGTGGAGGGATGCTGGTCCAGCAGCCCAGGGTGAGTTGTCACAAAGACTGGTGAGGAAATATCAAAAATATTGGTAATGTGGTGCTGGGAATGTGAATTCCCCTCTTGGCTTTGAAGGGAGCGTGTAAAAATTAGGGAGTGAGTTTTTACACAGGTGGATAAAGCCAGGACACAGGGAATGGCTCCCACTGCCAGAGGGCAGGGATGGATGGGATATTGGGCAGGAATTGTTCCCTGGCAGGGTGGGCAGGCGCTGGCACAGGGTGCCCAGAGCAGCTGGGGCTGCCCCTGGATCCCTGGCAGTGCCCAAGACCAGGCTGGACATTGGGGCTTGTTCCAGCCTGGGACAGTGGGAGGTGTCCCTGCCCATGGGAATGAGATGATTTTAATGTCCCCTCCACCCAAACCATCCCACAATTCCGTGATTCTGACATCTCAATTGCTGCCTCTGCCTGTGCAATGACCAGAAGAAGAGAAGGATCCAGAGCTGCTGCTGCTGCTCGGAGGTGCTGGAGCAGGATGGGCTCGGGATGCTCCCAGGATTTCCAGCCCAGGGAGCAGGATGTAAATGTAACCTTCAGCCAGCGAGTGCAATTAGAGCCCCGTGCCTGCCGCTATATTAAAATGGGATATTAAAGCAAACAGCGGCTCTCCCCGCTCCCAGGGATAATATCCAGCGCCTGTTTAGCCAGGGATTTGCCGGCACTCTGAGCAAACAGCTGGGAGCCGCCGCTGGTGCCCGGGAAACCTCTGAAATCCCCGAGTGAAAATCCAGCCTTCGGATCCCGGCGTGGATCCGCTCCCGGGGCCGAGCATCCTGCGGGGCAGGACCTTTCCCTGGCCAGGAGGAGGAGGAGGAGGAGGAGCGGCTTTTCCGCCCTTGCTGAGGCTGAAGGAGGATGTGGAACCCAAGCATGGCCACGCTCCTGGTTACCTTCCTGCTCCAGCTCTGCCAGTCAACATGCCTCTTTTTCCTTATCCCTCTCACCACTTTTTCCTTGGAAGGAGAGCACCGGAACTGCATTTAACTCTGTTCTTCCCTTGGAATAGGAATGGAATCACCTTTGGGGTGGCTGGCACGCAGCTTTTCCTCAGCTGCCACCTCATGTCTTATTAAAAACTGACCACGAGGCTGTTCCAGCTTTATTTTCCCTTTCTTGTTTGGACAATGGTGATGTGATTCCAAAAGTTTTGCAATCCTGCACATGGGTGTCCCCTCTCCTGTCCCCTCCCTGGTCCCAACTGGGTGAGGGGATCTGGGGCAGGAGATCCCAATTCCCACAAAGCCCAGACGTCTCCTGCTTTCCAGACAGGGAGCTCAGTAAGGCATTCCAGGGGGAAATAGCAGGAAAATCACATTTTTTGTGCACATCCTTTGCTCCCCTTCCCAAAAAACTTGTATCCCAGCTCTCGCTGTTGTTACCAGCGCTGGTTTCCCGGCTCTCTCCCCGCAGATACGCTGTCAGTGCCTCGCTGGTCCCCGCAGATCCCTCGTCGGGATTTAGGAAACTCCATCAAACACAGGTACGCTCACCCTGCTGCCCTGCCAGGCTGGGGGATGAGGGGTGGCCAGCTCCCTTCCCATCTCCTCCCCAGGACACGGGGAGGGGACATTCCCCCTCTTTGCCGTGCTGGGCTCTCCTCCAAGCCCATTTCAATTCCATTTCAGTTCAGATCTGGTTTAGATAAGGCTCGAGTGGCTATCGATAAAAGCTGTGTATTATCCGTGACCTTGCCAGCCTTCAGCAAATTCCCCATCTCTGGATTATCACCCTTCCATATCTCCCCGAAGAGGGAAAAGCTGTTTGATGGGAAGCTGCTTCCCAAGGGGCTGGAAATGTTGGTCCCCATGGTGGGGAGGGGTTTGGGGGGTACTGGGGTGGGCAAAGCTGGGGAATCACAGAGATTTGGGATTGGATTCCCTTTGGAAGCTTCCAGAAGCAAAGGAAGGCTCGGGGTTGTGTTTTGGCATCCCTGGAAGAATTCCTCAGCAGCTGCGGTGGTTTGAGGGCAGCAGAGAGAGGATAAAGCAGGGCTCGGGAGACAAGTGAGGCTTCATCCCTCCCTGGCCACTCCGTGTTTCTCTCCACAGGTTTTCCACCAAGTACTGGATGTCTCAGACCTGCACCGTCTGCGGGAAGGGAATGTTGTTCGGCTTAAAATGCAAAAACTGCAAGTACGGCGCCATGCCGGAGCTGTTTGTGTCCCTCCTCCAAGCTGGATAAGCAGGGTTTTCCTGGGGGAGCCGAGCAGGGCTCTGGGCATGGAGAGACCAAGCAGGCCCTCGCCAGCTCATCCTCACAGGAAGCTTTAATGAGATGTGGAATTGTGTGAGCAACACCCCAAAGCAGGGCTGGGGATGGGGTCAGGCTCCTCGGGGAGGATGTGCCTGCCAGACCTCGGCTCTGCTCGCTCCAGAGCTCTGAGTCAGATCCTGCCAGTCCCCCTTCCCTAAGCCTGGCTTTGGATGCCCACGTTATGGAGATTCCCTGTGGAATTAGCTGCAGGACACGGGGGATGGGTGTGCAGGACCGGGCAGGGACAGCTCTGGGCATCAGGTGGGTTTTGCCCGCAGTTTTGGGCTGTAGCCTCTATTTCTGCCGAGTTTTGGGCGCCTCTGGCAGGGTCGTGGCCCTGAGGAGCCAACTGACCCCAAAGGGTTAATCCATGGTGCAAAGGAGAGGGGATGAGCTGGGACAGGACCGGGGGAACAGCGAGGCAGAGGCTGGGGCAGCTCCAGCTGCTCTCGATCCGCCACAGCCGATCCGGCCTCGGACGGAGCCGGGCAGCACTCGGGGGAGCCTCTGCTGGAGCCAGGATTGCCTTTCCTGGGGCTGGGAGCTGGGAATTGGGATTGTCTGCGGCTAACGGAGCGATAGCGATCGCTGCTGCCGCTGATTAAGCGCTGATGAGTTGGTAAATTGGGATTTAAACCTGCCGAGAAGGGCTCGCTTACTCCACAGCTGGTGGGGCTTTTCTGGAAGGGATGTTATCAAATAGAGGGATTTTAAAGGGGTGATTCCCGTCGGATCCGTGCTCGGAGAACTGGAGGCTTTTCCTGCCCGTGCGGGAGGAGGGATGCTGTGCCTGCTCCCTGACCAGGATCGGGGACGCTGTGGCTCTGGCTGTGCAAATCCTGCTCCCTGTAATCCTACACAACAAATCCTTTTCCTGGCAGTCAAAAGTCGGGAGTGAACACAAGGCATTTAGGTTTTTTCCAGCCTTGCCCCGGCGCTGCTTTCCCCAGAAAGCAGAGGGGAACCAACAGGTAAAGCAAACAACCGGACCCCAAACCCCCCAAGCCTCAAATACCAAATTAATTCCTGCCTTTCCCTCTAGGAACAGCTTTGTAATAAAAGCTAACACGGGCAGCTCCTGAATTTTCATTACCCAGCTCATTGACTTGGAGCTGCCGTTCTCTCTTTTTTTTTCCCCCCCCATCATTTCCCCTTGTTTTGATAAATCCTTTCCTCCTTTTTCCCTTTTCCCCCATGGCTTTCTGCCGGCCTGGCAGAGCGTGAGCTGGGGATGCGTTTCCATCCTTAATTAAGGAGGAATGGGAAGGATTTGGGAGTCTGCCTATGCCTGTATGCATGAGCCGGGGGTGAAGCCCTCCAGACTCCTGCCCTGGCTCCGCAAACCGGGAAAAGCTCTGCAGAATATCCAGAGGCTGTAAATCCTCTCTTTATTTTGGCTAAGTGTCCTTAATAAAGCCGGGAGGGGAGGGCACAGTGACAGGGACACATCAGGGACTTTCTCCCCCTCTGCTGCTCCTGAATTTAATTAAGCGTCCAGCAGCAGGATGGTGGGAATGGGGATTTCATGGAATGGTTTGGGCTGGAAGGGACCTTAAAGCTGATCCCGTCTCACCTTCCAGTAAACTCTTCCCCCCAGCACAGGGCTCTGTGCCTTTTATTGCAGCCAGCTCTGGCAGAAGTGACAATTTGGGGTGTCCTCGAGCTTGGCTGGTCCCCCCCAGCTGGCAGAGAAAGGGGCAGAGCACCCAGGTTTGGGAATTTCTGTGCGTTTTCCAAGGGTGTGCAGCCCCTCCCAGTCAGCCCCTCCTGATTTTCCAGGATGTGCATCCCAAACTGCTCCTCACCCCTGAGCCTGCTGCCTGGGAATGAGGGGAAGCAGGAGCTGCGGGCTTCACTCCGAGTGAACAGCCAAAGCCTTGCATCCAGTCGCTTTCCCAAGGGGAAAAGGAGGAAAAAGCCCTGAGCTCCATCACAGAATCCCAGAATAGCCTGGATGGGAAGGGACCTTAAATCCCATCCCGTTCCACCCTGCCATGGCCAGGGGCACCTTCCACCATCCCAGGCTGCTCCAAGCCCCGTCCAGCCTGGCCTTGGACACTTCAGGAATCCAGGGGCAGCCACAGCTTCAACCTCCTCCAACACAGGGAGCAATTCCTTCCCCAAATCCCACCTCTGGCAGCGGGAAGAAGTTTCCCCTTATCCCGTCTCTCCATCCATCAGCTCTCTCTTCTCACTCCTTTCTCTCCGTCCCCTGCCAGGCTCAAGTGCCACAACAAATGCACCAAAGAGGCGCCCCCGTGTCACCTGCTGATCATCCACCGCGGAGGTAAGGGGCTCTCTGCTGCCCGCTCCGTGCCTCCGGGGGTGCTGCCAGCGGGTCAAACCTTCAAAAGCCCCGCGGGCGATTCGGGAGCCGGACCCAGGCGGGGTCCCCGGCGGGACGGAGGCTCCCGAACCGCTTGGGCTCTCCGGGGAAATGTTACCCACCGTTTTTTCCGCTTGTAGGGAGACGAGCCGGTCGGGGCGAGGCAGATTTGCATTGCAAACCACTTCCACCCACCCTCCCCCTGCCTCCTTTTCTTTTCAGATTCCCCACCGCACGGGGTAAGTCCAACCAGGTTTTGGCCTTTTGCTTCTGTCGAGAGCTCAGGGCGGATGGGGGACCCCGAACCTCCCGGTGCATGCGGGGTCCCCGCGCCGGGGACGCGGCCGTGGCCCTGCGGATGCTCGTGGTGCTTTTGGAGCTGCCTTATCCCGCTTTCCTGCGGGAGAGCCCGGCCTAAAATCCACAGAGAGACAGGCAGAACTTTGCAGCAGGACGGCGGGGAGGCGCTTCCCACCTCTTTTCTTCCAGATTTTGGCTCCCTTGCTGGCCAGAGGACCGCGACTGCCTGAGGGAAACGATTCCGATCGCTCTTGCCTTGAATTTTGAGCTCTTAAAGCTGTTCCTTTATGTCAAATATCCCACCCCAAAACCCGCTCCTTGGTTTAATCCCGGGGAAAAGGATTGTGCCGGTGGCACCTCAGAGGGGCAATTTTACAGCCTCCACGCCCTCGCTTGCAGGAAATTTGGGTGGAAGTGGCTGAAGACCCCCCCGGTCAGGCTCGGAGCTGCCCGGGAGGCAGGAGAGCAGGCGGGTTCCTGGCATGGGCAGGAATTGGGATTTGGGGCTGTGATGTGGCAGGAGCCGGAGCTGCCCGCTGTGTGTTTTAGGAGCAGCATGGCTTTGGGGTGGCCTCAGCATCACTGAAATACCTCCCCACCCCCTAAAAAAACCCCAAATCCAGCTCTTAAATTCATAAACTTGGAGTCAAACCGTTCTTGAGCCCCTCAGCCTTCAGGCTTTCCCCCCCCCCAAAAAAATCTCCCTGCTGAGAGTGTTGTGAGCCGGCTCCTTCCCTCCACCCCAAAAAGCTCTGGCAAGGAACGGGACTGTGCTGGCTGAGCCGCGGCTCACGGAGGGGCTGTGGCAGCTTCTGGACCTCCCAGATTTCCACCTGACACCCTGGGGGGGTTGGCCGTGGCCGGGGTGCAGGAGGATCCCGAGGTTCAGCTGCCATCCCAGGCTGGAAGTGCCGCGGGAATCGCTTTGGAGAGCGGTTTGCAAGCACAGGGTGACCCCGAGCGCTCCTGCTGAGCTTTGATGTCCTCTCCTCTCTCTTCCCTTCCTCTCCACCCCCTTTGCCCTCTCTCCCTTCTTAATCCAGCAAGGTTAGTCCGGACAGAGTCGGTGCCCTGCGACATCAACAACCCCCTGAGGAAGCCCCCGCGGTACTCGGACCTGCACGTCAGCCAAACGCTCCCCAAAACCAACAAACTCAACAAGGTGAGCCCCCGCCCGCACCCTGCCCTCACCCTGCCGCAGGGACAGGACCCCTGGAACCCCAATATCCACGGCTGTGCAGGGGATCATGGAATTCTCCAGGCTGGAAAAGATCTTTTAAGAAAACTGAGTTTGATTGTTCCCGCAGCGCTGGCGGTGTCCCCAAGTGCCACATCCACATCGATGTCTAAATAACCCCACCCTGCCCTGGGCAGCTGTGCCAGGGCCTGACCACCCTTCCCATGAGGAAATCTTCCCAAAATCCACCCTGAGCCTCCCCTGGTGCAGCCTGAGGCCGTTCCCTCTCCTCCTGTCCCTGTTCCCTGGGAGCAGAGCCCGACCCTCCCCGGCTGTCCCCTCCTGGCAGGGAGTTGTGCAGAGCCACAAGGGCCCCCTGAGCCTCCTTTTCTCCAGGCTGAGCCCCTTTCCCAGCTCCCTCAGCCGCTCCTGGGGCTCCAGCCCCTTCCCCAGCTCCGTTCCCTGCCCTGGACATGTATCCAATGAAGTTATTTATTTTAAAAATAAAACGGGCTCAGCACTTCCAAAAGAACCTGGATCCTGCTGTCCCAGTCCTGCTCCACTGCAGCCTCTCAGTCTCCAGGTCCAAGCCGAATTTAGGGTGGTTTGAGGTCTCTTCACCCAGTAGAGACTTCAATAAATAACGAATTTATTGTTGCAAATAAAACAAGCCTGGAATTTGATTGTCCCTGGCGAAGCTGCTCAAGCCAGACCTGACAGAGCACCTGGCTCACTCCTGCTCTGCGTTGATACAATAAACCCATCACAGGGCTGCTTCTGATGGAATTTAAAGCCTGTTGGCCTCCAGTGGAAAATTCCTTGGAGGAAGGGCAGGGTGAGGGGCTGGCAGGCTGGAAGTGCTCAAAAACAGGGATATCACTGGTGTGACAGGGAATGGATCAACAAAACCCCAAATTCCCAAAGTCTGGCTGAGCTCCTCCAGCCCTCAGCATCTTCTGGCTCTGGGAAAGGTGTGGGTACCAAGATGTTCCTGGAGATGCTGATTTTAAAGCTAAATATTTTTAGGAATGTCTTGGTGTAGGGATCTGCTCTGGTTTTGTTGTTATGGGGTTGAGCCTTTGTCCTGAGCACTCCCCTTCAGGTTGAAATTTCCCTTATAGATATTCTCATTTCAGCATGGCCCCCTTCTTACTTTGATATTCCTGAAAGATTTTCTTTAAAGGTATCCTGAATAAAATCATGGAATGGCCTGGGTTGGGAGAGACCTTAAATTCCTCTAATTCCAACCCCCTGTGAAACCCTTTTGTTGCGACCTTCACTGGTTGCTTAAAAAAGAATTTACCTGACCAAGATTATTGAGCATGGGATGATGACCAATATGGGTTTCCTGGAAAGCCCAGCTCATTTAAGAATTAATTGATTAGGGCAAAATTACCTGCTGGGGAAGGCTCCTGCAGACTTTTTAACCTTGGAGGGAAATTGTGTGGGGGTGGGACTGCTCAGCACTGCTCAGACCCTGTTCAGTGGCTCCAAGCTGGGCAGCAAGGGGGGGAATTCTGACAGCCTCGATTTTCCTTTTCTGATCCAAGATATCCCAGCAGGTTTTCCTGCCTGTTGCCTCTGTTCCCACCCATCCCAGCAGGCACCCAAAATCACTGGCCTTGACTGGGAAGAGTCAAGGGGTGGTGAGGAACATCCTGGGGTGCATTGGCTGCTCCTTCCAGGTCCTGCAAGGCCCTGGGGCTTGGCTCCAAGGAGCTCAGCAGGAACTTCCAGGACCTTGCAGTCCCCAAGGGTGGTGGCCCTGGTTCTGGCCTTGGTGGCCGTGCCTGTGCAGAGCCAGGAGATTTGCAGAACCCTCAGCTGGGGGTGAGGGTGGGAAAGGAGCCAAAGGTGGGAAATGGCCCTGGGGAATACAAAGAGCTTTGGGAAGAGCTCTGGGTGTCTTCTGGAAGAGACGGGTGTGACGATGCAGCTGTCACTTGTCACCCGGGGTCCTTTGCACCTCGGGGTGGCACCGACCAGCGCCGCTCTGACCTTCCCTCCTTCCCTGTGTCCCTCAGGACCACATTCCAGTACCCTACCAGCCAGATTCCAGCAGCAACCCCTCATCCACCACGTCGTCCACGCCGTCCTCGCCGGCCCCGCCGC